TTCTAAAAAGATCATAGTGCCCTGGCTGGTGTGGCTCAGTAGACTTGAGTGCCGGCCTATGAACCAAAGAGTCACCAGTTCGATTCCCAGTCAGGGCACATGCCTGGGTTCCAGGACAGGTCCCCAGTGTGGGGTGCTTGAGAGGCAACCACACATTGATGTATCTCTCCCTATCTCCCTCCCCCTCCCTAAAAATAAATAAATAAAATCTTTTTAAAAAATTAAAAGATTATAGAGTTAAATGGTTCAAAATGTGCACATTCGTAAACCTCTTTTGCCCTGACTGATGTGGTTAAGTTGTCCAGCAAATTGGCAAAGTGAAAGGTCACCAGTTTCATTCCTGGTCAGGGCACCTGCTTGGTTGCATGTTTCTCCCAGGTGGGGGTATTTATGAAAGGCAACCCATGAGTGTTTCTCACATTTTGTTCCTCTCCCTCTCTTTAAAAAAATAAGTAAAATCTTTAAAAATAAATAAATAAAATGTTTTTAAAATGGAGTCAGGAAGCTGGAAGAGAGAACTTTCATGCAGGGTCACTTAATGCATACTACTGATCTCAACAAGAAGCAACCATCTTGTGTCCCCCACAGGAAATACACCTGTGTACTTTAGCAGGAGGGAAAAAAGTTTCCTCCTTGCCTGGCAACAGCTTAGCTAATAGGAAACTACCATAACAGCCAATGAGAAGTCACTATAATTCCAACTTTCTGTGACATCCAATGGACTCCTTATTTATAATAGCTCCTGTGGAGTCCGTAAAAGAGCATTTCTCTCCTTTGTTTGTCTGGACTTGCTGGTGGTTTCCTATGAGGTTGCATGTCTCAAATTGCAATTCTTTGTTCTGGAATAAACTTATTTTGCTGGGAAAATATCTGGCTATTTGTTTAAGGTCAGCAAAAATAAGCTATAAAACATATGTAGTAAAACATTTCTTTGCCATACTGGTCCCTATTTGCCAATAAGGTAACTATACCTATTAGTTTATCCTTTTAGAGAGTTTTATTTTTTTTAAAGATTTTATTTATTTTTAGAGGGCAAGGGAGGGAGAAAGACAAGGACAGAAACATCAGTGTATGGTTGCCTCTTGCGTGCCCTTTACTGGGGGCCTGGCCCAAAACCCAGGCATGTGCCTTGACTGGGAATTGAACAAGAGACCCTTTGGCTCACAGGCCAGTACTCAGTCTACTGAGCCACACCAGTCGGCCTTTTAGAAAGCTTTAAACATTTGTATTTCATTTACAAGCTAATGCAAATATACATCAATGTTTCCTCTGTTATATACAGTTGACAGCATATTATAAATGCTGTTCTGTATCTTGTTTTTCCACTTAACATTTCTTAAAGATCTGAACTTCCTCAGTCTGTTTTTTAAAACAGCTGTAAAAGTATTTTACTTTTTGGAATATGTTCCATTATGTGGTTATACTACAGTGAATTTAACCAATTCCTTCCTGATGGAGATCAACTTATTTCTAACATTTTGCTATTACAGAAATGCTTCAGTGAGTAGCCTCGTGTGTTATTCATTTTACATATGGAAGTATGTCTGTAAGATAAATTCTTATTAGTGAAACTATTGGGTCAAAAGGAATATGCAGACAAAACATCAGATGAGTAAAATTAAAAGACATTCTTTGTAAAGTACCTGACTCTTCAAAATTGTCAAGATTATGGAAAACAAGAAAAGACAAACTCACAAATCTGAGAAGACTATGGAAACATGATGGCTAAATGCACTGTGGTATCTTGAATTGGATCCTGGAACAGAGAAAAGTACAAAGTCTAGAGTTTAGTTAATAATGTACCAGTGTTGGCTTCTTAGCTTTGACAAATGCCCCATGGTAATACTAATGTATTCTATCTTTGCAGCTTTTCTGAAAATGTTTATTTCTTAATTAATATTATGATATATTACCTATAATAAATAAACAAATTAAAGGATTCTTGTTGTCTCTCCTGAAAATGCAATAGCAGAATTTCCTAAAAATACTATTTTAAAAATTTTTCAGTTAGTCCGTTACGATTGTCCCATTTTTCCCCCTTTGCCTTCCTCCCCTCAACCCACCCTCTGTTCCCAAAGTACATCCCCACACCATTGTTCATGTCCGTGGGTCATTCATACATGTTCTTTGACTAGTTCCTTCTCCTTCTTTGCACCGTTATTCCCTTCCTCTCTCCCTTCTGGCTGCTGTCAGTCTGTTCCACATTTCCATGTTTTGGGATCTATTTTGTTAGTTTATTTTGTTCATTAGATTCCCTTTATAAGTAAGATTTTAAAATTTTATTTTTTAAATATATTTTATTGATTGTGCTATTACAGTTGTCCAATTTTCCCCCCTTTATTCCCCTCCACCCTGTATACCCTCTCCCACCCACATTCCCCTTCTTTAGTTCATGTCCATGGGTTGTACATATAAGTTCTTTGGCTTCTACATTTCCTGTACTATTCTTAACCTCCCCCTATTTTCTACCTACCATTTATACTTCTTATTCCCTGTACCTTTTCCCCCTCTCTCCCCCTCATCCACTCCCCCACTGAAAACCCTCCATGTGATCTCCATTTCTGTGTTTCTGTTCCTGTTCTAGTTGTTTGCTTAGTTTGTTTTTGTTTTTTAGGTTTGGTTAATAGCTGTTTATTGTCATTTTACTGTTCATATTTTTTATCATAATCTTTTTCGTAGATAAATCCCTTTAACATTTCATATAGTAAGGGCTGGGTGGTGATGAACTCCTTTAACTTGACCTTATCTGGGAAGTGCTTTATCTGCCCTTCCATTCTAAATGATAGCTTTGCTGAACAGAGTAACCTTGGATGTAGGTCCTTGCCTTTCATGACTTTGAATATTTCTTTCCAGCCCTTTCTTGCCTGCAGGATTTTTTTCTTTTTTTTTTTTTTTTGAGAAATCAGCTGATAGTTTAATGGGCACTCCTTTGTAAGTAACTCCTTTTCTCTTGCTGCTTTTAAGATTCTCTTTTTATTTTTAATCTTGGCTAATGTGCCTCCTCGCACAACCAAAAGAAGGACAACAAGAAATTTTAAAGCAAAAAACAACCAGAACTGACAGAAAAATCAAACTGTATGGAAGTCTGACAACCAAGGAGTTAAAGAAGAGACATTCATCCAGACCAGTAGGAGGGGCAGAGACAGGCAGGCAGGTAGAGAGGACTCAAGGCAAGGCAATAACTGGAGGACCTGGGGGGGTGAAGCAGCAGCTCGTGGACTGGGCAGTCCCATATTTGCACACAAATAAACTAAGAGGAGCAACTGGGGAAACGAGACAGAAGGTACAACCCAGGGTTCCAGCACAGGGGAAATAAAGCCTCAAAGCCTCTAATTAAAAACACCTGTGGGGGTTGAGGTGGCAGTGGGAGATACTCCCAGCCTCACAGAAGAGTTCATTGGAGAGACCCATAGGGTTCTAGAATGTACACAAGCCCACCCACCTGGGAATGAGCACCAGAAGGGCCCAATTTGATTGTGGGTAGCAGGGGAAGTGACTGAAAACTAGCAAAGTGAAGCAAGCAGCAATGTTCCCTCTCTGACCCCTTCCCCACATACAGTGTCACCACGCAGTGACATGGGTTGCCCTGCCCTGGTGAACCCCTAAGGCTCTGCCCCTTACTACATAACAGGTACACAGAGACCAAAAAAAAAAAGGTCCAAATGAAAGAACAGTTCAAAGCTCCAGAAAAAATAACTAAATGACAAAGAGCCAACCTATTAGATGCACAGTTCAAAACACTGGTTATCAAGATGCTCCAGGAACTCACCGGGTACTTCAATAGCATAAAAAAGACCCAGGCAGCAATGAAGGTTGTGTTATGTAAAGTAAAGAAAAATCTACAGGGAATCAACACTCACTGAAAGGAAACCAGGACTCAACAGTTTGGAGCAGAAGGAAGAAACATTCAACCAGAACAGAATGAAGAAACAAGAATTCAAATAACTGAGGAGAGGCTTAGGAACTTCCAGGACATCTTTAAATGTTCCAATATCCAAATCATAGGCGTGCCAGAAGGAGAAGAGGAAGAGCAAGATATTGAAAATATATTTGAAAAAATAATGAAGGAGAACTTCCCCAATCTGGCTAAGGAAATAGACTTCCAGGAAGTCCAGGAAGCTCAGAGAGTCCCCAAGAAGTTGGACCCAAGGAGGAACACACCAAGGCACATCATAATTACATTAGGCAAGATTAAAGAAAAGTTTATTCTTTTTTTTTTTTAAAAAAAAGGCATTAATGGGGCCCACTGGTGTGGCTAAGTGGGTTGGGCATCACTCCAAGGACTAAAAGGTCACCAGTTTAATTCCTGGTCAGGGCACATACCTGCATTGCTGGTCAGGTTCCCACTTGTGGGCATGCAAGAGGCAACCAGTTGGTGTTTCTCTTGTACATCATCGGTGTTTCTCTCCCTCTCTTCCCTAAAAATATCTTTTCAAACTTTTTTTTAATCTACATGTGTATATATATATTTTTTTACTTTTTTAAATAAAAATTGAACCATGCCATGTAAAAAAGGGGGGAGCAGTATTAGTGAAAAAAAAAACTGCTTAAATACAAATAAAGTCTGTAGTAGACTGAATAGTGTTGTACTAATGTTAAAATCTTAGTTTTGACAAATGTCCATGGTTATTTTTTAAAGATTTTATTTATTTTTAGAGAGAGAGGTAGGGAGTGAGGAAGAGAGGGTGAGAAACATCAATGTGTGGTTGCCTATTGTGCACCTGCTACTGGGGACCTGGCCTGCAACCCAGGCATGTGCCCTGACTGAGCCAAACAGGTTACCGTTTGGTTTGCAGGCTGGCACTCAGTCCACTGAGCCACACCAGCCAGGGCATATCAGTGTAGTTTTTAGTTAATCTCTTTCATTCATATATATAATATTTTTTCTCATTTTGCAAATGGAAAACAACCTGAAGCTCAAAAGTTAAAAGTTTTAGTCACAGAAATAATTGGTGGTAACAGGCCAATTATTTTTTTGACTTTAGAACAACATTCTTTCCTGTGAACCCATGTTTGGCTGAATGAGAATTCCTACTAAAGAAATTTATTGACCTGGGAAGGAAATGCTGTGTAAACAGGCTAATGTCTCCAGGTCAGTGGTTTTTAAATGGGTGATTTTTGCGTACCAGAGGACATTAGCAATATCTGGAGACATTTTTGGGTTTTTACAACTTGGGGAGGGGGTGTTGATTGCTACTGGCATCTAGTGGGTAGAGATTAGGGTTACCACTGAACATCCTTCAATGTGTAGGATTCCCCTCTAACAACCAAGAATTACTACCCACACCTAAATGTCAGTAGTGTCAAGATGGAGAAGCCCTGATGTAGACCATATTTTACAAAGCTTTATTTGCTCAGTGGATACTCAGCAAGCAAATATCACAATTGAGGGATTAATTTATAGTGCCAGTGATAAAATGGGCATTCTTAGACTTCTCTGATTTGTACTTTTCAGTTTGTTAGTGTATTATAGAAGATATGAAGGGAAAAGGGAGGAAGCAATGCAAATAGCCTATTTCAAAATGACAAGCAGATTACCTTTTTAAAAAAGCATTAAAACTACTGAGCTTTAGTTAATAATATGCATGCTGAACTGATGTCTGCAGCTTTCTCTGAAATACATCAAAGTAAAAGATTGATGAATGGAGAAGAGGGTGGAAAAAATAGATATGTAATAAAGTAAATACAGTAAAATGTTAGTAGTAGAATCAAGTGGGTGAGTATATATATAGAGGTTCACTGTATAATTCTATTTTTTATATGTTTGAAAATTTTTGTAATGGGGGAGTCAAAAGCTGAGATTTATACGGTTCTTAATAGACACTGGATTTGTAGGAACTGCATAGCTAATTTTTCTGGGTGAACTCAGGCAAATAACTTGAATGTTCATCTGAAGAATGGTGGTTGTTTGACCCAAAGAAGACACTAATATTGTGAGGTTCAAATGAAATTATGAATGTGAATGTACTTGGAAAAGCATAAAGTGCTCTAAAAATGCAAGGTGTTACTATTAGGAAGGATGTGTGGCAAATTATAAACCGTGGCTCTAGGTGTTCTTGACGACTCCCCATGTAGTGCCATTAGCACTGTTTTATCTTTATAAAAGCTTTGGAAGTTGGAAGTTTTATCTTTATAAAACAGTTTTGCAGTTGGAAGTAAAAACAGCCATTTTTATAACAATTTCTGCCAAATATTTGTGAAACACAGATTACTTTTCTGAAAAGAAAGAATCTTTCTGTTTTTGTATAACTTTAATATTTTTTTTCTTGTTTTATTTATAGACTGCAAAGATCTCCATGTAGGGCAGCAGGAATCTGCTTTGACTGAAACATTGGGCAGGAGCTTTGCCAGTGAGTGGCCAAGAAAGAGGCTGCATTGTTACACTATGGAGTTCAAACTTCAGAAGACTTTGGGTTAAGCAGTAACATTTACTCTGTAAATGATTATGTCGTCACCTGTCCTCTGTGATCATCACAAACTAATGAAACACCCTTTTAGGTCTTGTAAGTTTAGGTTACACCATTTTCCATATGCTCTGGCAGCTGAAACAGGTAGGATTGGGCTGGGTGTTGTAAGGAAGGGTGGAAGGGAAAGAACTAACTTTTCCCATTCTCTGGTCCTTGCTCAAGGTAAACATCTGTGCATGTAAAGATTAGGTTAACTTATCTAGGTTGTTGTATAGAAGAAGATTGAACCTAGAGTAATACTTTAGTTGTTACATTAGCATTTAAAAACTATATAGACATATGAAAGGCAGTGTTTCCTTCATTTTTATTTTGTTTGAGGGTTTTTAATTGATGTTGTATTTGAGGGTACAATTTAAAAATAGTGAATAGTTTCTTTGCATTTCACTTTCTGTACTAAATATCATAAATGATTTTAACTCTGTGTGTGTGTACATGTATATATACTCATGCTGATGGGCTTATTGCTTTTTCTAGGAGCCTATAAAAAATGGAACCAAACTCTCTGAGGACTAAAGTCCCAGCTTTCTTATCTGATTTGGGGAAAGCCACATTGAGGGGAATCAGAAAGTGTCCCCGATGTGGTACATACAATGGAACCCGTGGGCTGAGCTGTAAGAACAAGACATGTGGAACCATATTCCGCTATGGTGCACGGAAGCAGCCTAGTGTTGAAGCTGTCAAAATCATAACAGGCTCTGATCTGCAGGTCTACTCAGTGCGACAAAGAGACCGGGGCCCCGATTACCGATGCTTTGTGGAGCTAGGTGTTTCAGAGACGACAATCCAGACAGTAGATGGGACAATCATCACTCAACTGAGCTCTGGACGGTGTTATGTCCCCTCCTGCCTGAAAGCTGCCACCCAGGGTGTTGTGGAAAACCAGTGCCAGCACATCAAGTTGGCAGTGAACTGTCAGGCAGAGGCTACCCCTCTGACTCTGAAGAGCTCAGTTCTGAATGCGATGCAGGCTTCCTCGGAAACCAAGCAAACCATCTGGCAGTTGGCCACAGAACCCACGGGTCCACTTGTACAGAGAATTACTAAAAACATACTGGTGGTGAAATGCAAGGCAAGCCAGAAGCATAGTTTGGGGTATTTGCATACATCCTTTGTGCAGAAAATCAGTGCCAAAAGCTTGCCTGAGCGCCGTTTCTTCTGCTCCTGCCAGACTCTGAAATCACACAAGTCGAATGCCTCCAAGGATGAGGCAGCACAGAGATGCATTCATTTCTTTGCTTGCATCTGTGCCTTTGCCAGTGATGAGACATTGGCTCAGGAATTCTCAGACTTCCTAAATTTTGATTCCAGCGGTAGGTGGTATGGTTGACACACTATGTTTTTCTAAAATGGCAATGAAAGAATTCCACTGATGGCTTTGGAGATTGCCCTAGCAACCTTCAGAAGCAGTTGCTAGATAATTCAAATGAAAAGCATTCCTTCTTTTAATCCCAGGCAGCACTTGCATAAAGGTTGGTTGGTTGGTTGGTTGGTTGAAATTAATGATCAAGACACTCCGACATTTTCATTGAGATAATGAATCTAGTGAAGTTAGCTTTGCTTTGATTTTTTTACTCTTCCACAGGTGGCCTGTGTTAATAAAACCAAAAAAAGAAATCACTTTTATTTTGGTTTGGTGGTTTTTTTTTTTTTTTTGCTTGCTGCTTATCTTTGAAGCTAGGGAAAACCAAGTACCTTGCTCAAAAGAAAACCTTTAAAGTTTATAAATCAAGTCTTTTGTTGTTTATATATATAATTTTTTAAATCTTGTAAATGCTTTTTATTTTAATTTTTAAATAATCTCTAATTGGCAGCAGCTCCCAACTTTTTAGTTTTACATTTCTCTGTAGAGCCTTCTATCAAGTTAATGTGCTGTGAACAAAAACATGTTTTGGGATGTCCTTTAAAGGAACTTTTTTTTTGCAGGTTTGCAATCTTTTTTATTTTATTTATTTATTCTATTTTAATTGTTGTTCAAGTACAATTTTCTGCCTTTTACCTCCATTCCAGCCCACCCCTCCAGCCCTCCCTTCACAATCTTTTTTTATTAAATTTATTTGGATGACTTTGGTTAATAACATTAAGATTCAAATATACAATTTTATAATACATCATCTGTATATTGCATTGTGTACTCAATGCCCATAGTCTAGTCTTCCATATATGTGACTCCCTTTACCCTTTTTATCCTCCTCCCTTCCCTTTCCCTTCTGGTAACCTTCAAACTGTTGTCTGTGTTTCTCAATTTGTTTTTTTTTTTCTGTTTGTTGCTTTCTGTTTTATATCCTACATGTGAGTGAAATCATATGCTTTTTGTCCTTTTCCATGTAACTTATTTTGTTTAGCACAATACTCTCAGGGTCCATCCATGTTGTTGCAAATGTCAGTATTTCAGTCTGTCTTATGGCTGAGTGGTACTTTATTGTATATATGTACCACACCTTAATTCAGTCATTCATCAAAAGACACTTATGTTGTTTCTATGTCTTGGCTACTGTGAATAATGTTACAGTGAACATAGGAGTACATATACCTTAATGAATAAATATTTCAAATTATTTGGGTATCTATACCCAGAAGAGGGATTGCTGGGTCATATGGTAGCTCTGTTTTTTTTTAAAGATTTTATTTATTTATTTTTGGAAAGAGGGAGAGAGAAAGAGAGAGACATCGATGTGTGGTTGACTCTCATGCAACCCCGACTGGGAACCTGGCCTGCAACCCAGGCATGTGCGCTGACTTAGAGTTGAGCCAGCGACCCTTTGGTTCACAGGCTGGTGCTCAATCACTGAGCCACAGCAGCCAGGGCTATTATTTTTTTGAGGAACCTACATACTGTTTTCCATAGTTGCCGTGCCAGTTTACATTTTCACCAGCAGTATATGACGGGTTCCTTTTTTTCTGCATCTTCTCCAATACTTATTTCTTGTTTTTTCATAATAGCCATTCTAATAGGTGTGAAGTGGTATGTCATTGTTTTGATTTGTATTTCAAAGGAATTAATGCAGGCAATCACTCCATTATTGGGGGGTTTGGATTTTTATAAATTGAATTTTTTATATCCTCACCCAAGGATATGTTTTGAAAGAAACATACTGATTTGAAAGAAAGAGTGAGAGAGAAAAACATTGATCAGGGATTGAGCCTGCCATCTTTTGGTGCACAGGACAGTGCTCTAATCAACTGAGCCACCTGGTCAGGACTAAATTAATTTTTCTATAAACAGAGTCCATACTTCCTCTTGGATAGTATTAGTAACTCAGCAATATGTTGCATTTTAGGTCTTAAAGAGATTATTGTGCCCCAGTTGGGTTGCCATTCAGAATCAACAATATCAGCTTGTGAATCTACTCCATCTAAGGCAAAGAAGAGGAAAAAGGATGAAGTATCTGGTGAGAAGATGTTTGATTTGTTTGTTTGATGGTGTTATGTTTGTTTTCCTGAAAATATTTTATTCTCGTTGATGATTCTTTATCTAGTCAAGCTAAGATTGGTTTTACTGGCTAAATAATAAGATTGAACCAAACTCAGCTTTTATTATTGAATGTGTTTTTCCATTCCTTAAACATTCAGGCTAGTCTTGCACCTTCACTTACCTTAGGACAGTGTTGTGAGGTTTTCATCCACAGATTATTTTAAAAAACTTGCTACGATAATTCATTATATTTTCCACACTATTGCAGGAATATAGTTTATTACTTGCACTTTCATATACATATATGTTTTAAAGATTTTATTCTTAGAGGGGAAGGGAGGAAGAAAAAGAGGGAGGGAAACATCGATGTAAGAGAGACGGGTCCCCTGCATGTCCTAAGCTGGGCACTTGGCTGCAACCCAGGTATGCCCCCTGGGTATCAAACTGGTATCTTTTTGGTTTGCAGGCTTGGGCCCAATCCACTGAGCTACACCAGCCAGGGCTATATATATTTTAAATTCAAATAATACCATTGTCATTTAAGGACTCTTGTAAATCAATATGAAAATGCTGAAGTATCACACTAAATATATGTCAAAAGACACAAACTCTAAACAAAAGGAAAATATTACCTGGTCCACAAATGTGGACCAAACTTCAAACTCACTAGTGAACTGTGAAATGCAAAAATTATAGACATGCAAAATTAAAATAAGATATATTTTGCTATCAAATTAGCAAAGATTTCTAAAATGATGAGACACAGGTAAAGGTAAAATTCACGCTCTCTGACATGGCTGGTGTAGTGTAAGTTGCCATAATAATATGTAACAATAGTTTACAATTCTTGTTAGGGACCTGAAAAGTGCTCCTATTCATAGGTATTATTGCTGGAAGTCAGTGAGGTGGTCATACACAGGAGTTTGGGTTCTGAAAAGTTGGAGAAACAAAGTGACAGGATCATTTTCATGTTTGTAAGAGGTATTTCTGACAGCAATGTAGAGCAGACATTGTTAAGTGTTTACTTACTGGTCTTTCCCAGGAAAACTTGAAATTCAAAAATAAAGTGTTTACCCTTAGATGCAGTAATCTACTTCTAAATAATCTTTGTTAAGGAAATAATTTTTGGTGCGGGAAAAGCATTTTGCCCAGAGATACTCATTTTATGGCTATTTATAATATAAAAAAATTAGAAACAACTAAGGGCCAACCACTGGAGATAATTAAATGAACCATGATAAAACCACTTGGTAGACTATCAGACAACCAATAAAAATGATTATAAAGAATTTAGAGAAATGTTTAGGTCACTCAGGTAGTCACATAAAGTACAGAATGCTCAAACTTGGTTTTCAGATAAGCAATGAATACATTTTTAGTATAAGTACCTTCCATGCAGTATTTGGAACATACTTATGCTAAAAATGTATTTATTTCAAATGTGAAAAAATAGTAAATTAATTATTTTTAGAGAGAGGGGGTGGAGGAGAAAGAGAGGGAGAGAAACATTGATATGAGAGAGAGAGAGAGAGACACTGATTGGATGCCTCTCCTGCGCACCCCAACTGGGAACCAAACCTGCAACCCAGGCATGTGCCCTGACCAGGAATCAAACCAGTGACCTGTCACTTTGCAGGATGATGCCCAATGAACTGAGCCACACCAGCCAGGGCTGAAATGTAAAAACTTTTTTGGCCAAATCTGGCAGCCCTGGTAAAATCACAGCTACTAAAAATCACAAAACCAGCAAAATTATCTATGCATAAAAAAAATAGAAGATAGTTCACCAGAAAATTAATAGGGGTTGTCTGAGGTAGGAGCAATGGGTGAATTTTTTTCTTCCTTTCACTTCTGGTTCCCCCCGGTTTCCAATAAGGAGCTTTGGAAACTTAAAGTGTTATGTATAAAGGCTAATGTTAGTTCCTTCTAGAAACTAACTTAGAAGCTAACTTAGAAATTTCTAAGTTAGAAGCTAACTTAGAAACTAAGTTAGAAGCTAACTTAGAAATTATCAGGGACTTTTTATGTTTTAGAAGCTTCAGAAATTAATATAATATCTATATTTTGCAGACGTGTTATTAAACACTGTCATGATTTATGGTTTAGGTGCACATACGAACAGTTCACTCTTGCCTCAAGATGCAGTTAGCAGTAATCTAAGGAAAAGTGGCCTGAAAAAGCCTGTCGTCGCTTCTTCATTAAAAAGGCAGGGTAAGTTTCCCTGCCCTGCAATAGGCTAAAAAGGTGGAAAATCTTCTGAAAGAGGGTAAAAGCAATAAATCCAGAGAAACGTGCCCCAAGGAATGCTAAGATAAACACCAATAGGCACTGGCACTAAAGCTGTCCTGTCCCATTGGTCTCAAATCAGGCTCCAAACCAAAATGTGTCTTTTAAATAAAAATGCAACAAAAATTACTGACATGTTTTGGCAGAAGGTATTTTGTAGGATTTTTTCCTCTTGTTGTTTATTATCTGCATGCAGTTGATATAGAGATTTGAAGTGGAAGAAGAAACATGTCTTATAATTATTCAGTTATAATATTTGTTAAGAAAGACAAGCATAGTCTGTTTTCCACAGTTAGTGAAGTTTGAAAACGTATCTAAAAGCAATAGCATGGCTATCATTCTGAATATAGGAAGACAGAATGACTTAATTCAAGTGTAACATATATTTATATGTTATATGTCACTTTTCAACTGTGAATAATTAAGCTTAGACTTATGGGGATCAACCTTTTTTTAAAACTCTCCTTATACATTGTATAAAATAGTTTAGTTCAATTTTGGTAGTATTTACTGAATACTTGCTGTGCTGTGGTCAGCCATATAATGTGGCTGGGTGATTAGAAACTAGACATCATCCCTGGCCTCATACTCTGACTTTGAACACCAGTATGTAAATATAAAATAACACAAGACCAAATCTTAATTAACTAATTAAGAACTTACACATTACAGGAATAAATGTTTTTGGAAGATTAGGAAATAAACAGATCAACTGTATCAGGTAGAAGATTTTCAACAAATTTTCATCAGTTTTTTGGCACAAAGTAATAATAGCTTTTATTCTAAATTATTACTATATGCATTTATTTATGAGAATTTTAATTTTAAATAGTAGTTATGACATTGGTATTTCTCTGTAAAGGGAATATAAAGGGAATATACTTCAGACATGTGAAGACATTTCAGGAGAAGGAATAGAATGGAATGGAATGGAATGGAATGGAATGGAATGGAATAGAATAGAATAGAATAGAATAGAATAGAATAGAATAGAATAGAATAGAATAGAATAGAATAGAATAGAATAGAATAGAATATCTCTGTGCATAGAGGCATATTTACTAGTCAGAAATAGGACCAATTTATAGGTCCCTAAAACAGCCATTATACAAGGCTGTCTTCAATTTGCAGTTTAGTGTTTATTGAAAGGCTGCAAACTTTCTGTGCTTACTAATCTTGAACCTATTAGTACCTCAAAAGCTTTTTATTTCTTTTTTCTAAATGGATTCTTTAAAACAATTCTAGAATCTTCCATCGTACTTAATTTCTTTGAATTTCAGCTTATTGTTCTTGTTTTAAAAATCTGAATAAAATCCTTTCCTTTTAAAAACTTAACTGTTTATTCTGTAAGAAAAAATCAAAGTTACTAAAGCTTTATTTTTTTGGTTTTTTTTAGCCTGTGGTCAATTGTTAGATGAGGCACAAGTGACCTTGTCCTTCCAGGACTGGCTGGCCAGTGTCACAGAACGCATCCATCAAACCATGCACTATCAGTTTGATGGTAAGTGTTGGTCAACCAACTGAGCTGTTGATAAAAATAGGAGAAATGAAAGTATTTTTTTTTTCTAATTGATTTTAGAGAGAAACATTGATTTGATGTTCTACTTAACTATGCATTCGATGGTTGATTCTTCTATATGCCTTGCCCAGGGATCAAACCTGTAACATTGGTGTATCATGACAATGCTGTTAACCAATGGAGCTACCCAGCCAGGGCTAGAGTTCTCTTTTGATAGAAAAAGTGACTGGCTTTGACTCCAGAATACATAAGATGACAAAAAATAGAAATATAAGTGAAAGAAATTAATGATCGCATAATTTAAATTATGGAAAATTTAAAAGCAAAATGAATTTAGAAACGGAAGAAAAACACAGCAAATAATAAGTAAAGGTAGATAGCTTTGATTTTTTAAAAAATTTATAGATAGCTTTGATCTTGAGTGGGATGTGTTTGATGAGGGAGATATAGAAGTCTTAGAAAATCCTTCTGCCCTGGCCAGGTAGCTCCATTGGTTAGAGCATCATCCCGATATACCAACATTGTGGGTTCCATCTCCAGTCAGGACACATACAAGAATCAACCAATGAATGCATAAGTAAGTGGAACAACAAATGGATATATGTCTCTCTCTCTCTCTCTCTCTCTCAAACCAATAAAATTAAAAAAAGAAGACAAAGATCATTCTAATTCTCAAACTCAAAGTTGAAGCAAGCAGGGAGAAAGTTTAGAGAACATCTAAACTTGTGAAACTAAAATAATTATATAATGTTACATAGAAATGTTAAGGAAGATTAGAGAACGCAGGCTGGGTGTGATTATGATAGCTTCATGGAACCTCAACAACTTCAGAGTGGACCATACAGCCAGTCCTTGCCCGTTGCCGTAAAACATCGTTGATGGGTGGTTTTCCAGGCTTTGTCCAGTGATGAGGAGCTCACTGCTTTGTGATATAGATCATAACATTGTTGAACAGTGATAGCTGTAAGAAAGTCCTTCCTCGTGCTAAGTGGACGTGTTTGCTTATACTACTTCCTTTTGGTTCTAGTTCTATACTCTAGCCATGTGAAATAGGTCTGTTCTGTTTTCAAAAAACAGTTCAGCTACGGCACACCCTGCTTGACAATGTTACCTTTTGGGTTTTCTTACACTATTGGTATATTATAGACCCCATATCATTTTGATGTTCTTTGCTGATTACATTGCAGCTTATGAATACCATTTTTTAAAAACAAGTACCCTAAACTGAATAGTAGCCTGATGGCAGATACTCAGTAAAAGAAGATGAGTATCGAAGGATTAAACCAGATATGATTTTATAGTAAGGAAAGGGATAAGAATGGAGGTCTTGAAATACATTTTAATTTTATTTATATTAATTCAGAAGTTACTTTTTAGAAAATAAAATAGGCTAAGGAGGGTTAAAAAGAGAATCTATGTTTTTCTTTTCATTAATGTTATCTAATGCCATGGCTGTTGTGGCTCAGTGAATTGAGTGCTGGCCTGTGAACTAAAGGGTGGCCAGTTCAATTCCCAGTCAGCGCTCATTAAAAAAAATATGTGGGTTGCAGGACAGGTCCCCAGTGGAGGGCACTTGAAAGGCAATCACACCTTGATGTTTCTCTCCCTTTCTTACTCCCTCCCTTCCCCTCTCTAAAATAAATCTTAAAAAAAAAGAGATTAATTTGTAAACCTAGGTGCTGGCATCACATCTTCTGAGTTCTAGTGAGTTAGCACTTCTTTTAGAGCTGTTATAATCTCATACATAGCCCATAATCTAATTTCCACATGAAAGATTTTAAAGTTCATTTGTGTGTTGACTTCTCTAAGCTGCCCTGATATTAATGTTTTAGTGCCTTAAAAGCAGTGACAGTTTGTCATTGACATTGTACATTCAGTGAAGTAGGCAAAGTCAATTGAAAGAACATAAAGTCTCTTTCTATGAAATCCTAGAGGACTTTTCATTTTAATTTTCCTTGACTTGCCCTTTGTTTCTTTCTAAAAGTATCTGAACTGTCTTTAAGAGTCTTTCTTTTTTTTATTTTTTAAAGATATTATTTTTTTTTTAGAGAGAGAAGGGAAGGGAAAGAGAAAGAGGGAGAGAAACATCAATGTGTGGTTGCTTTTTGCTCACTGTCCACTGGGGACCTGGCCCACAACCCAGGCATGTGCCCTGACTGGGAATCAAACCAGCAACCCTTTGGTTCAAAGGCTGATACTCAACTACTGAGCAATACCAGCCAGAGCTAATTTCCTTTCTTCCTCCCTCCCTCCTTACCTCCCTCCCTTCCTTCCTTTTATTGTTCAATTACGGTTGTCCCCATTTTACCCCATGACTCCCCCCTGCCCTACTCATCCCCCACCTCATCCCCCACTTTCAATATTTGCCCCCCCACTCTACCACCATTGTCTTTGTCCATGGGTCCCTTATACACGTTCCTTGATTTGACCCTTCTTTAAATGGGATAAACATATAGTTTCTTTCATATGTATGTTGATCCACATGGTTCTGGATGTTTTCTCTCTGCTGGGGCTAAGTAGTCCCTTGGACAGAGTTTCTTAAGAAAAACTAAGAATTCCTTCAATCCCTCCCTTTAACACTCTTTCTATTGACTTTTGTTGACCTAGTGTCTTGTCTCTTTGAAAGATTTGTTAAGTATTTCTAGCCCTGGCTGGTGTGGCTCAGTGGATTGAACACTGGCCTGTGAACTGAAGGGTTGCTGGTTTGATTCCCCATCAGGGCACATGCCTGGGTTAGTGGGGGAGCGCATTAGAGGAAACCACACATTGATGTTTTTCTCCCTGTCTTTCTCCGTCTCTTCCCCTCTGTCTAAAAATAAATAAATAAAATCTTTTTTTTTAATTGACCATATGAACTTCGGTGAATGACAGGTGTCTGCTATATTTTTATGATTTCAAGGGATCAAGAGTAGGGCTATGATGATGCTTGACTCATAAAGGTCAATCAGTTCTTTTTGCCTCTATGTAAAGAAATCTCTATAAAGTGATATTTTTAGTTATTACTGGCTTTCAATTCCATTTCTTCCACTTCTGTACTTGTCAGAAAGTTCAATGAGTTTCTTTATGTATTTTCCTTTGTTGTTCTGTACATGAATTTCTTTAAGAGTTTCTTCTTATTTCCTAAAGGCAAACCAGAGCCACTGGTGTTTCACATTCCTCAGTCCTTTTTTGATGCCCTGCAACAGAGAATATCTATAGGAAGTACAAAAAAACGGCTTCCCAACTCCACCACAGGTATGGGATTTTTTTCCTTGGGAGTAGCAACGAATGTCTTGACCTTAGAGAATTGCGTTTGGGAAAGTCATGTGGAATTTTCAAGATTATGACTTCTAGCCGCGTTAATGGAATAATTCTGAAAATGAAGACTTGGTAAAAGAATAATAATGAAGTTCAATGAGGGTGCCCCCCAGGAAGTTTGATATTTTCTAGAGAGAAACCAATTTCAACAGAAGCATTGCAGGCTCCAGTTGTTATTTGGGCTGGCTTCTTGGAAGCATTTTACAGTATGTATCAAAAACTAAAACTTTTTGTGACTCAATTTTTGATGAAGGAAGATTTTTTTTACAGTAATTCTTGGCTTGGAACACTATGTTATTTCTTGGTTTCATATATAACATCTTTCTACTAGACATGTTAACATACTTACTGGGTAGTATAAGGTAGTAAGTGAGAAAAGGAGGAAGAAAGGGTTGCTCAGGGCAGGTTGGCCAAGAGTAATTACAGCTAGAAAGCAGTGTTACTTTTTAAGCAAATTGTTATTTGATGATATTATAGGGACTGTGGGACTGTTTGAGGTTTAATTGTTTTTGAATAATGCAAGCTTCAAATCACTATGTTTAGGGCTATGAAAATCTTTGTCTTCATAGCTTATCTACCTGACTTTTGAGGCAGTGTTGATTCTTTCTTCAAGTTTAAACTTTAGGTCTAATGCATTCTTTTTAACCCATCCCTCAGCTAGTTCTGCAGACTTTTGGTGGAACCCCTTGATAATCCTGCAGGCATGACAATGGATTGGCAACCATACTAACAGGCTTAAACTCTGTATAATTATTTTAAGGACTATGATTTGACTTCTGATATATCTAAAGTTGTAAGAGGTTGTAAGAAGCTGTTTTATAATGGAGTCCTGTGCATGTAGCTTCACCAAACAAACAGTTTTCTAAGGTACCAAAAATAAGCAGCATTTCAAAGATGCATCAGAGACTTTGTATAGCAGAAATTCTTACCACTCGATTATTACATTTATGTCAAACCCTATTATATATTTGCCTCTAGATTTTCTTTTATAAATGTGCTGAAATTCTATACGGAAAGAACAGCACTGCACTGAAATCTCTAGAAACTGGATGACAAATGGTGAAAGAGAATGTTATTTTCTGGTAGGCTAATTTTGTTCCCTTTTCACATTGAAGCTTTTGTTCGAAAAGATGCCTTACCACTGGGAACCTTTTCCAAGTATACCTGGCATATCACTAATATCCTGCAAGTTAAGCAAATCTTAGATACTCCTGAGGTAAGAGTTTATTTCTACAATAGTGGGAGAGCAGAGAGGGGAAGGGAGGGAAGCAAGTGCGGGAAGTATGTTTGTACCAGTCCCTTGAGTTATAGATACCAAAGAGAATTCTTTTTTTATATTAAGAGATTCTTTAGAAATATTCGTGGCTTTATAGTGCTGACTGTGATTTTAATGGATATTCCCTAGAGCTTCAAAAAGTATCTTAAATTGGAGTATTCTTTTCCTTTGCCTTTGAGATCAGAAAACAGGAATGATTTTTCTGGTAAATTAAATAATAATCTTCTATTAGCTATGGTGAGTCCTAGATTAACTGGCAGGTAGCTAAAAAATATATAATTTGAAGTGATATACTGTTTGTGAAATTAGTAGGCCCGACACAATTAAATGTTCCTTCCCAAATTGCAGTTTAGTTGCCATTAGAGAAATGGCCCTTAATTTGTGTTCCTTTTCACAAGGGAAATATTAGATATTTTAAACATTTTTTTCCAAGCAGAACCTGAAAATTGGAGGATTTTTCTGTTCTTACAGTAAGGGAATATTGTAGAAAATTCAGTATAATGTGATTTGATGCATTAAGAATACCTTAATTTAAGGCATTGTTGTGTTCAGAAAAAGAATAAATTGTTTGGTAGCTGTAGAACTTACATGTGAACCCTAGAGAAGGCCTGTGTTAGCACTGAAGACATTTGAGGCAAGATGCAAGCCTTATATGCAAGGTATCACAGAGGCAGCTTCTTGCCTGGAACAAGTGGTATTTTGGGAGGCAACAAGCAACCAAGAGCAAAGTCAAGTGAGGAAAGAGAGCTAATAATCATTGAGCTTCTGTCTGTTGGGCGTTATTTACCTGTATCACCTCATTCATGTATTTTGCAGATGAGAAACAGGCTATGAGAAGCTCACCCTGCTGTTTAGTGGCAAAGACAAAATTCAGTTCAAGTTCTGTCTGGCTCAGTCCCAAGGATGGTGTGAAGCACACAGGATGGTGAGGTCAGCTGTAGGTGCTCTCAATAGTTTCTAGGAGAATGCTGTAGCAGAGAAGTAAGGGAAGGAATAAAAACCAATTTTAGAGCAGGTCTGTGCTAGTAGTGGTCGTTTAGATAGGTGTTAGGGGTTCAGTGCAGTAGGGTTTGGCTGGGGTTCAAACTAAAGTTACAGAGAAAAGATGAAAGCCAAGCCATGAATGATGTAAGAGAAAAAAGGCAGATTTGTTGACAGAATTTACTTGAAAATACAAGGGGGAAAAAAACAAGAAAATACAAGGGGAAGTTTTAATTAATTCGAATGTGCTTAATAAGAATGAATATGTAAAAACTATTCTCGTCCAAGTGTTTGTTTACTTCGAAAGTTTTTCTTCCTCACCTTTCTTGGTATTGTCTCCATGTCCAGATGCCCTTGGAGATTACCCGTAGTTTTATCCAGAACCGGGATGGGACTTACGAGCTGTTTAAATGCCCTAAAGTGGAAGTAGAGAGCATAGCAGAAACCTATGGTCGTATAGAAAAGCAACCAGTGCTGCGACCCTTGGAACTAAAAACTTTTCTCAAAGTTGGTAAGTGATTGGTGGTTTCAGTAGTGCAGCTTCCTGTGAAGGTCAACTATGTGCAGTGCATTGTCCTGCACTTTGGATTTTGACCTTAAACAAAAAAGGCACATTTATTCATCTTGTAAAGGTAATCATGGCATAAGGTATTTTGTTTCATTTGAGCCAAGGCTTTAAAAATAAAATTATAAAACTAATATATGTTCATTATAGAGAAATCATAGATTTTTATAATGAAGAAAAATAAAAACCACCCATAAGCCCATCCATTGCAGACATCACCACCAGTAAGATTTTGGTGTAAACCTTTCCAGATTCTTTTTTGTGCCTGAAGAGTTTCTGAAGCACGGGATCATACCTCAGCTACCTTCTCATTTAAAAATATGTAATGAATAGCGAGCTTTCTGTGTCTACCTTCAACTTTATTTTTTAATTTTTTTATTGTTCTAAAACATACATAATATAAACCTTACTATTTTAACCATTTTTAAGTTCTCTGACATTAAGTATATTCACATAGTTGTGCAACAATCACCACCATCCATCTCCAGAACTTTTTCATCTTTCTCAGCTAAAACTGTTCCCATTAAACACTTACTCCCCACTCTGCCTCCTCCTAGCCCCTGGCAAACACCATTCTATTCTCTCTCTTTGAATTTGAGTATTCTAGGTACCTCATGTAAATAGAATCACATATGTCCTTTTGTAACTGGCTTATTTCAGTTAGCATAATGTTGTCAACATCTGTGTTGTAGCAAGTGTCGTTTTTAAGGCTGAATAATACTCTATATGTATAACCACATTTTGTTATCTGTTCGTCTGTCAAGGGACACATGCGTTGCTTCATCCTTTTGGCTATTGTGAATACATTTTTAATAACTGCATAAAATTCATATATTAAAGTACCTCACTCTGATCAATCCTCTAAGTTGTTTCAAACAGTTTGCTGTTATAAATAGTACTTCTTTTCAGATTTAACTTTTTTTTTAGATAAAACTTTTATCTGCTTAATTATTTTCTAACTTCTTTAGGATATTCTTTGGAATAAATTCCTAAAAGTGAAATTGAAGGGTCAAAGGTTATGTACATTTTTAGGGCTTTGATTGTTTTTGTCACAGTGCTCTCCATAAAGATTGTAATATTTATATAATTTACTCCAGCCATCTATGTATAAAGTAACTTTTTAAAATCTTTGTTGATTTGATAGGCAAAAGAAGTTATGTCACTCTTTTAATTTGCATTATTCTCAATATTAATGAGAGTAAATTTTTTATATTAGTCTTTTACATTTGATGAATTTTTATAAGTTTATTGATTTGGGAAAGAGAAATGTCATTTTGTTCTTCCACTTATTTGTTTTTAAAGATTTTATATATTTGTCTTTAGAGAGTGGGGGAGGGATGGAGAGTGAGGGGAAGGAACATTGATGTGCACAACATCTATCTATTGCCTCTCACACACCCCCAGCTGGGGACCTGGCCTGCAACTTAGGCGTGTGCCCTGACCAAGAATTGAACCAGTGCCCTTTCAGTTTGCAGTATGACACCCAAACCACTGACCCATACCAGGCAGGACCATCATTCCACTTATTTGTGCATTTATTGGTTGATTCTTATATGTACCCTAGTTGGGGATGGAACCCCTGACCTTAGTGTGTAAGGACAGTGCCCTAACCAACTGAGCTACCTTGCTTTTTCTTTGTCTGTTTTTAATAAAATAATATTTTGTTTGTATATTATACTAAATAAAGTATATTATTTTATAGTATTATACAGATACTATATAATTTACTTTTATACTTCTATACAAATAAAAGCATGTATACTTTTATACAAATATTTGTATAATACTTAATAATAATGACAATTATAACAAGTAGCACTTAATATACATCTGTGTCAGATATTAATCTTAAGTGATTTCCAGTGCATTAATTAATTTAATGCTTATTAACTTACTGAGAGATAGATTCTGTGAGCTTTATTTACAGATGAATAAAGTGAGGTGAAGATAGATGCAGTCTTCCTGTTCAGTTATATGACTAGGGAGTGGTGGGGCTGGACTTCAACACCAGACAGTTTTGGACCCCAGAGCTTGCACTTCTAGCTATCTACTTCTTATCTCTCCTTCCACTGACTAGACTATAAGCTCTTCCAAGGCAGTGAACTAGATCTCTTTTGTTCATCACTGTACCCCAAGATAGCATAGTGCCTGGTTCATAATAGGCATTCAATAAAGACTTACTGATTGAAGAATGAATGAATGAATGAATGAATGAATGAATGCTTTTAATTGCCTGAGCATTGCCGTCTATCTAATGACCCTCATTCATATCTCTAATTGTGTACTTATTCTTTTAGGAGAATTATTTTGTCAAATGCTTGTGACTATGTTCCTATGCATATATTTTTCTGCTCCTGTAAATAGGATGTTTATCATTTTTCTAACTTGTTACTACCCTTATAGAGAATGCTCTTGATTCAGTATACTGTCAGATTGGCCCCTTTAACCTTGCAGAGGTTGTGGTCAAAATAATTACAGTGTAGTTCGCATATATCTGATACATTCATTACTAATATGTGCTGAAATGCAAAAAAAATGAAAACACTGCAAGTTTGCATTTATTATATTTATGTAATAAATTACACAATTTTTTAAAATTTTCAGTTATAATTTAGAGGTTATTAAACAAAGAAATATAAAAACATAAAGAATAAAAGTTTTTCTTTTCTAATAATGGAAACATGGATATTGCTAAAAAATACAACCAAGAAATGTCTTTAATATCCCTAACTGGTGTGGCTCAGTGGATTGAGTGCCAGCTTGCGAACCAAAGGGTCACTGGTTGATTTCCAGTCAGGGCACACGCCTGGGTTGTGGGGCAGGTCCTCAGTTGGAGGTGCATGAGAGGCAACCACACACTGGTATTTATCTCCCTCTCTGTCACCCTCTCTTCCTTCTCTCTAAAAATAAATAAGTAAAATTTTTTTAAAATGTCTTTAACATTAATTAATCAGAATCTTCAATAGTTTTTGGAGGGTGGTGGGGGTAAATGCAGACAACTGTATTGAACAACAGTAATTTTAAAAAATCTGAAGCTTTGGCTGGTGTAGCTCAGTGGATTGAGCGTAGGTCTGCGAACCAGAGGGTCATGGTTCAATTCCCAGCCAGGGCACGTGCTTGGGTTGCAGGCCAGTTCCCAGCAGGGGATGCACTAGAGGCAACCATACATTGATGAAAAAAAAAACTGAATAGTTGGCTTTGCAAACATTTATAACAGTCATCTCAATGTTACTATGCTCAGAGCATAAATGCTTTCCATGATATTTATTTTGATAAGCAACTTGTTTTGGATGCATAGCATCTAACACATGTTATGACCAAAAAATGGCTTAAACATTAGGGCTTAATATTAGTCATATACAAACATGCAGCTAGTCATGACTTTGAATGTCTGTACCCAATATATGTAACAATATCTAAGAAAAGAGTTTATCTCTCAAATCAGCTGTGACACCCGCAGGGTTAATGAACTTCTAGTGGTGATAATAGCTATTTCTCTCAGTTTTCTGGGAAATCAATTATATTCACCTGAAAAATAATCATAATTTTGTTTCCTATCATATGTTTATGTATCATTTTTTTCTTGTTAAACTAGCTAGGATTTCAAGAGCAACAATGAATAATAGTAAAGTTAGCAGCCATAATCATCACTTTAGACTATATAAAAACTCCTCCAGTACAGTATTTTCCAACTCTCTCTTGAACAAGAGGAGGTGATAGGTATTCTGTGAAAAAAAAGCGTTCCATGGTCAAATATTGGGTTGGCCAAAAAATTCGTTTGGTGTTTTTCCTAAGATGGCTCTAGTAGTGCTTAGTTGTCTTTAACTTTATTCAAAACAATTTTGTTAGCTTGTATTGTGATAGCTGTAATATCAGTGTTCATTTAAAAAAAAATATCAGATTGGTGATTTTTATGTAGCCATTTTTATGTTGAAGATGGAAAAAAGTAAGCATTTTTGGCATATTATGCTTTTTAAAATGTATTTTATTGATTATGCTATTACAGTTGTCCCATTTTCCCCCCCTTCATTCCCCTCCACCATGCACATCACCTCCCACCCACATTCCCCCCCTTTAGTTCATGTCCATGTGTCATAAGTTCTTTAGCTTCTACATTTCACGTACTATTCTTGCCTTCCCCTTGTCTATTTTCTACCTACCGTGTGTGCTACTTATTCTCTGTACCTTTTCCCCTTTTCTCCTCCTCCCACTCCCCTGTTGCTAACCTTCCATATGATTTCTATTTCTGTGGTTCTGTTCCTGTTCTAGTTGTTTGCTTAGTTTGCTTTTGTTTTAGGTGTGATTGTTAATAACTGAGTTTGCTGTCTTTTTACTATTCATATTTTTATATTCTTTTTCTTAGATAAGTCCCTTTAACATTTCATATAATAAGGGCTTGGTGATGACGAACTCCTTTAACTCGACCTTATCTGGAAATTGCTTTATCTTTCCTTCCATTCTAAATGAAAGCTTTGCTGGATAGAACAATCTTGGATGTAGGTCCTTGCCTTTCATGACTTGGAATACTTCTTTCCAGCCTCTTCTTGCCTGTAAGGTCTCTTTTGAGAAATCAGCTGACAGTCTAATGGGAACTCCGTTGTAGGTAACTCTTCTTTTCACTTGCTTCTAAGATTCTCTTCTCATTTTTAATCTTGGGTAATGTAATTATGATGTGCCTTGGTGTGTTCCTCCATGGGTCTACCTTCTTTGGGACTCTCTAAGCTTCCTGGACTTCCTGGAAATCTATTTCCTTTGGAAGTTTGCCTTCATTATTTGTTCAAATAAGTTTTCAATTTCTTGCTCTTCCTCTTCTCCTTCTAGTACCCCTATAATTCAGATGTTGGAACATTTAAAGATGTACTGGAGGTTCCTAAGCCTCTCATTTTTTTGAATTCTTATTTCTTCATTCTTTTCTGTTTGGTTGTTTCTTCCTTCTGGTCTGCTCT